AGAAAGATCACTTATTCTAATATGCAAATGTGTAAAAAAAAAGCCGATCTTATGATCTCATTTACTTTTTTTTAATCAGTTTACTGTGAGGGATTCTTTGGGATGATCGAAAGTAGACGTTCTAAACTAACTGTTTGAATATCGTTTAGTGAAAATCAATACAACGAATACCGTGAAACCTTCAAAAGAAAAGGATACAAAAAAAACGTGACAGAGCCAATCAAATTTGCGAATCGGCACGTGGATCATTCTAGAACCCAATTTCCAAATTTGGTATATTCCCTGACTGAACTATTTCACTGATTTGATAAATAACTGTGAACTAGTTCATCATCATATTTGATTAATTTGAATTTGGTTTAATTAATTATTTGATCAAATTTGACTTGATCAAATATTTGATTTCAAACTTAATCTTTAATTTGCTTTTGCAAAGCACTAGACCTGCACAGATAAAAATTTAGCATGCTATTACTAAAATTTGTGTCTTGGCATACCACTCTGATTATGCTACAGCTTGGATTGTTTGTTATACAAAAACTATATATTAAAAAACTAGATATAAACGCTTTTGAAATTTTATTTCTTGTGTATTGATTCATGATATTGTATTATTGGTATCAATATATTGTTTAATATAATTGTTATATTAAATCATATAACTGTTAGAATATTTATATTAATAACAGTTTATTAAAAATTATTTATTTAATTATATGATTGTTAAAATAGTTAATCTGCTAGAACATTAAATCATTAGACAGTTAATTAAATAATTATAGTAACCATTAGAGCCGTTAACTGTTAGTTATTATAACTGTTAAAACAGTTAATCATGTATTTATATTACATATAATAAATCTAGTTTAAAGTATATAACTGCTTAGTACAGTATATATTATATGCTTTAAAATGATAAAAGTTAAATGCTATACTACATAGAGTAGTTAACTGCTAAGTGCTGCTTTTGAAATGTATAACTGTTAAATATTATACTATACAAAGCAGTTAATCTTAAGTGCTGCTTTGAAATGCATACGTATGTACATATATAACCGTTAAGTGCTGCATATAGGGTGATTAATAATTAAATATAACTTTGAAATATATAACTGTTAAATTTTGCATTAAATACACAACTATTAAATGCTGTGCCACATGGGTAGTTAACTGTTAAATATATATAACTTTAAAATGCATATGTATATATGTAACTGTTAAATGTTGTGCAACATAGGGCAGTTAAACTGTTAAATATATACAATTTTGAAATAAAATACTACGCTATAGAGTGGTTAACTATTGAAATATACAACTGTTAAAACTGTGTTACATGAGGCAGTTAACTGTTAAATGCAACTTGAAATACAACTGCTAAATATACAACTGTTAAATACTGTGCTATACAAGGCAGTTAATCATTAAATACAACTTGAAATATACAACTATTAAATACTGTGCCACATGGGCAGTTAACTGTTATAAAATATTTGCAGCTCCTATAATGCGAATTAATGAATATTTGCAAATTTAAATTTATTTGAATTTATATAAATATATTCGAATTAGAGAAATTCTAGGCATCTCTAGCCAGAGATATATAGCTTATATATTTCTGGCCTATTTAGCTAATCAAAGAATGAAAAAATCATATGATTAACACTTATGTGTTGATCTAATTGCTGATGCAAGATCGAACGATCTTACTCTGTATTGCTATATTATTACTGGATCGGAATAAATTATCTATTTTTTTTTCGTCTTCTTTGCATCACTTATTAATTTTTTGTTTATTTATTTAGCTTATCATCTTTCGCTATTGGTGCTGTCACTGGTATTGTAGTTATTATTACATTATCACTGTTGGTATCATAGTTGATGTGCGATTGATGTCATTGTCTAATCTTGCATCTGGTCTTGCATCTGGTCTTGTGTCTGGTCTTGCATCTAGTCTTGCATCTGGTTTTGCATCTGGTCTTGTATCTAGTCTTGCATTTTTTGTGTAGTCTTGATGCTTGCTTTTCTGTTAAATCACTAGTGCATTTCTGTATATTTGCTTTCTCTGCTTTTTTGCTTGCTTTGTTTTTGCTTTACTTACTTGTTCTGCTTTTCGCTTGCTTATCTTTCTGCTTTTTTTGCTTTTTTTGTTTTTCACTTGTTGCTTTTTTTGCTTTTGCTTATTGCTTGTTTTTTCTTGATTTCTCTTCTTACTTTTTCTGCTTTTCGTTTTTTTTTTTTATTTGTCTTGTTAACTAACTATTTTTTCAGAGAAAAGGTTTTTTTGGCTTGTTAGGTTTCTTAGATCTTGATGGAGTGTGAAATGTAAAATTAGTGGCTTTAGTAAATTATTTTCTTTTTTTAGATTGTTTTTTATTTTTTTTGCTTATTTGCTAACTATTTTTTTATTTTTTTAACTTTAGATTTTTTAGATTTCGCGTGAAATATTAAACAAAATGATTTTTCATATATTCTTGCAAGCTGTTAATGTTGTAAAACTATAATTCTAATATTATAAAGTGAAGTTACAAATTATTTCAGCAATAAAAAACTTATAGAAATATATTAGCAGTTTCGGTAAGTTTTTTTTTCTCTTTTTTTTTTGTTTTATTTGCTAACTATTTTTTCTTTTCTTTGGCTTGTTTAGGTTTCTTGGACTTTACTGAAATGTGGAATGTGAAATCAGTAGCTTTATTAAGTTTTTTTCTTTTTTTTTTTGGTTTTGTTTTTGGTTTTCCTTTCTTTTATTTGTTAACTATTTTTTTTTGCTTAGGCTTAAGTTTCGCCAGTAGAATATAAAATATGAAATCAGTAGTTCAGTAAATTTATTCTTTTTGGTTTAGATTTTTTTTTTTATCTTATTTATTAACCATTTTTTCTTTTTTTTGGTTGTTTAGGTTTCTTAGATTTTGCCAGAATGTGAAATATAAAATTAGCAGCTTCAGTAAATTTTTCTTTTTTCTCTTGGTTTTGTTTTTGGTTTCTCTTTCTTTTATTCGTTAACTATTTTTCTTTTTTTTGGCTTGTTTAAGCTTCGCCGAGACGTGGAATGTAAAACCAGCAGCTTTAGTAAGTTTTCTTTTTTATCTTTTTCTTTTAGTCTTGTTCTTCTTTCCTTTGTCTTATTTGCTAATTATTTTTTTCTTTTGTTAGGTTTCTTAGGTTTGCTAGACGTGAAATGTAAAATCAGCATCTTCAGTAAGTTTTTTTTCTCTTTTTTTTTGGTTGTGTTTTTCTCTGTTTTATTCACTAATTTTTTCTTTTCTTTGGCTTGTTTAGGTTTTTTAGGTTTTGCTGAGACGTGGAATGTGA